TTTATAATTTCTGTTCTAAATAAATCTAAATAAATGAAAGCTCATCAGATGGTTGTTGTTGAGAGATGTGAACAGGAAGGTGTTTCTCACAGGAAGTTGTCTCTGCTCAGAGGAAGAAGATGTTCCCTGGTTCCCGATGAAGATCTCAGAACTGGATCAGTGTTGTCACAGAGTGTTGATGTACGGATCCGAGCTGGACGCTGACCATCCTGTGAGTTACCACAGAAGAAGAAAGCATGAGACATGTTGAGTATATGAGAGAGAGCGAGATCGTCCACACATAAAGTGTAAATTAAATTAAATTAAATTTTATTTGTATAGTGCCAAATCATAATATACAGTACATTATCTCAAGGCTCTTTATATAGAAGGTCAGGACCTTAAAATCAAAATATAGAGAAACCCAACAGTTGAACAATGAGCAGCACTTTGAGACTGTGGAGGAGAAAGTCCCTCATTAACAGAGAGAAACCTCGAGAACCAGACTCAGTGGAGTCTATATAAATTAAATGTAGTTTTGTTGATATATTGAAACTATATGAAACCGACCTCTCGTGTTCTCTCAGGGTTTTAAAGATAATGTTTATCGCCTGCGGAGGAAATACTTTGTGGAAGTGGCCATGAATTACAGATTGTAAGTATTATCGTTTCCTGATCTCTGATGAAAACCTCGTACAAAATGTTTTATCATCATTGGAACCTTTTAAAGTTTTTAATGTCTTTACGGCTTGATGTTTGAGATGAGTTCACATTTTTTCCTTGTTAACATTTAGCTGAAGCTTTATCCAAAGCGACTTACAATAAAATTTCAGCTTTTGAACAAATAAAGATTTAAACATTTTAACCTGTTAGTATTTAAAGGAGTTAACATGTATGGTTAGATGTTTCAGTCACATGATGGACCATGAAAACAATTCATAGAAATCAGATATTAGTTAGATTGTATGTCTCCACCCTCAGCGGACAGCCCATCCCTCGTATCGAGTACACCCTTGAGGAGATCAAGACATGGGGGGTGGTGTTCAGAGAACTGAGCAAACTGTACCCGACTCACGCCTGCAGAGAACATCTGGAGAACCTGCCCCTGCTCATCAAACACTGTGGATACAGAGAGGACAACATCCCACAGCTGGAGGACGTGTCCGTCTTCCTTAGAGGTCCTTATCTTCATCATCATTATTTTTATTATTACTACTGTTATCATTATCATTTATCATGTTCGCATTTAAACAAGTTCTTCTTTCTGAAGATATCGTTCAGTTGACTGAAGTAACCAAACTGTGTGTGTGTGTGTGTGTGTATCTATCTATCTGTGTGTGTGTGTGTGTGTGTGTGTGTGCGCAGAGTGTTCTGGATTCACAGTTCGTCCTGTCGCAGGTTATTTGTCTCCCAGAGATTTTCTGGCAGCTTTAGCATACCGAGTATTTAACTGTACTCAGTATGTTCGTCACAGTACTGACCCGCTGTACACACCTGAACCGTGAGAACACACACAGACACACAGAGTACACACACAGAGTACACACACAGAGTACATACACAGACACACACACCTGTAACACATGTATGTTGTGGTTCCAGGGACACGTGTCATGAGCTGCTGGGTCACGTTCCTCTTTTGGCCGACCCCAAGTTCGCTCAGTTCTCTCAGGAGATCGGGTTAGCCTCTCTGGGAGCGTCCGACCAGGACGTCCAGAAACTGGCCACAGTGAGTACTACTACATGTACTCGTGCACATGTACTTTTACTGGACACGTCTGTACTTCAACTGTACGTGTACTTCCTCTGGACAGTGTACTCCTACTGAACCTGTATACTTCTACTGTACACGTGTACTTCTACTGTACATGTGTACTTCTACTGTACACGTGTACTTCTACTGTACACGTGTACTTCTACTGAACCTGTATACTCATCACGACTAAGAAAGATAAATATAAATATTTACTATTTACAGGAGCAGATAACAAAACACAAGATTTAACTGTACCTAAATATTTATGTTCACATCTTTACAATCTGTTGTCAAAAACAAAACTTCATATGAACTGTGTTTATTTGTGTGTCATTGTTGTTTTCTGTTGTGTCAGTTGTGAGTCTGTGTTTGTAGTAACATGACGACACTGCTGCATTTTTTACAGTGTTATTTCTTCACTATTGAGTTTGGACTCTGCAAACAGGACGACGAGCTGAGAGCGTACGGAGCCGGGCTACTGTCGTCTATAGGAGAGCTGAGGGTAACACACACACAGACACACACACAGACACACACTGAGACACACAGACACAAACTGTGACACACAGACACACACTGAGACACACAGACACAAACTGTGACACACAGACACACA